TTCACTTCTTGCTACTGTTCATTATCAATTAATGAGTTAACCATCAATATTATAACATCTTCAATAAAAATCTATGAACCTATGTGCTTGTTTGAATCTTTTCTTTCAAATTGTTTGCGGTATACAGGGAGTCCCGTAAGTAAAGGAAAATATTTGAAGATGTAGTAGCAGACCTCAAGAGAAATAAAAGAGTTTATATAATCTGTGAGTTGTTTCCATTCCAAAAAGCAGGAAATCTAAATTTTGTGTTTCTCAAGTATTTGATTTTTTCTTGAATAGGAAGCAATAACTAAAAATCAATTTAAATTAGGTAATTATTAATTGCAGCATATGCTAAAGAACACTTTGTCCCAAAAAAAAGATGAAACTTTTTTTTTGTTGAATTAGAATATGTGAAGTTCTGTTTTTTGTAAAATCGTGAATTATTTAAGATTTTTTTTATCAACTTCTTAGTGGACTACAGATTCTCCACTTTATAAAAATTTACTAGATCAAGTAAGTTTAAGTCTATAATTAAGTTTAGATCAGTTACAGAATAAGCTGAGATTCCCTTCTAGTTTTGGGAAAAAAAAATATATTTTTTATGTTATTCTTAATTTTTGACCTACATTATATTTTTTATTACATATTTTTTACTTAATTAAAGTGTATTTTATTAATTTATTTATTACAATACATCTCAGGACACAGACAAAATAATAAGATTTTTAAAAATTAATTATTTTCGCTGTAAATCCAAGATCCAAAGAATATTAAAAGACTTTCATAATTTTGTTTATTTTTATTAATGATCCATATGATAGCTAACGTTTTGAGACAACCATCCTCATTTTCAGAACCATTGTCACTCAACAATTATAATACATTCACTAAACCAGAATAATTTAGCCGCTTGAAAGCCTCCTTCAAAAGTGATGTAAACATGGTTCAAAACCTATTTTCATAAGAATTTTACCTTAATTGCAGTAATGTATACAAGTTTTTTTACACTATTGCAATTTGAAATTACCTAAATTGAATAGATCTTAAATTACACTTCCTATTCAAAACAAAATGTTTTACTTAATAAAATAAAAAGCCAAACTTCTCAGTTTTTTAGTGTGGAATTGAACCATAATCTGTGTAAACATTTTTGTTGTTCGTGAGTAGAGACCGGATTTCCATGTTATTGAATTTTTTATTCGCTTGCTTGTAAAAACTCCAGACTCGAATATCTATCCGTTTAAGGACCTGTAGAATAACATATCTATATTTTATATTGCATAAAATTGCACGTTTTGCTGTTTTTGGCTTAAATTACACAATTTTGATTTTTGTTGCATTAAATTGCACATTTTTGCACTTTAGTGCTAAATTAGACGATTTATAAATACAAATGTATAAGTGAATGTGTTAATATTTATTTTACTATTACTTTTTATTTTACTATATTGTTCAAATTAAATTCATTATTCAAAATAGAAAAATATAAGGAAGGCAAATAATTCTGTGTGAAGCAAAGATCATATTCATTACAAAAGGTAGAAGTAAATACAAGTGAGTTCTATTCTTGGAAGAGAACTTGCCTAAAGTATGGGATAATAAAAAGCTGCTTTCCTAGAATTAGCTGCTTTCTTAGTAAGACATTTATAGTTATTGTTTAGACTTAAATCCTCAATCACCATTTAACTCATCAGAGTATCTCTTCTGGCTTCAAATTGATTTGTTGAAAGTAAAATCTAGTCTCTTGTCATAAATTAAAATTTGGATATAAAAATACCATGATTTGAAATGTGAGGACAAAGAATTTGATGAGAAAGTTCTATATATCTTATGAAAAATCAACCAGGTGATAGGAAATTACTGATAAATGCTCATTGTGGAACATGTAAGAAAAAAATATTACTATCAAAGAATTAAATATATATTTTTTTTTTGAGGAGTCGATAACGTATTCCCCCAAATATTTTTTTTAGTGAGAGAATCACTTTATTTCCATAAAAGGGTGCTGCCCAATTACATTGGGTTTCAAACAGAGCATACTTATTAATCACTACAGAAATTTTTTAATAGAAATAACTAATAGAAAAACAACTTCAACACTAATATTTGAACACTTGAAAATCTCAAACATTACAGTCTCTTTCAATTTGTTTGTATAAATTCTTTAAATTTTAACAAAAGCGTTTTGGAATGTATGATATTGGAAATTTCAACCGTATTAAAAATAAAATTTTCATTATTATTTTTCATAAAAGTTAAATATCTAAAATTGGTCCTGTGTATAATATATAGTTACCTATAATTCCTGCCTTCATTTATTCCTTCAAACCTTCAAAGTTCTGCATTATTTGATAATAATCGTTACTATAATAGTTTATTATAATCTGGAATTTCATTTTCAATGTAACGTTTCAATTTTTTTTTCTAAAAAACTCTCGGTAAACTCAAGATCGGATAAGATTTCAATGTATTAATGTTATAAATTAAATAATATTGATGGTTATACACGTTTTCAGGTGTTAATTACACAATTTTCGTATCTTGAATTTTTACTGCACGAAAATCCGTTCTCTACTCATGAGATTTAGGATTTCTTCAAATACTTCCCATTATTAACGGGACACCTTGTATACTCACATGAGATGGAACCTTTAAATATCTGCAATTGATTCATTTTCCGAAGATTTGTAAATTTACATTTTCCGACATGTAAATATGAATGATGATCTTTTACATATAATTCAACTCAATATTTATAATGCTTTACAGAACTAATAAACCATTTTTTATTCAATAAGCTAATCAATTATCCTTATCAGGATTTGCAAATTCTGTTCTGGACTTAGAAAAAAATCTTCATTGATATAAAATCAAAGTCCATATTTCTCAACCATTTATAAGTAGCAACAGTATCAATCACTTCATAGCATTGGTAATATTTCAAGATAGTTATAAAATCCATTTCGATGATATTTAAGTTATTAAATACATTAAAATTAAACAAAAATCTAACATATAGCTTTAAGCTCCTAAAAGTACATACATAAATAGTTGGCACAACAATCCACTAAAACTTAATGAAAATAAACCAAAAATAAATAGATTTTATGATACAACTGTGCGATTACAAGATGCGAATAGGTGCATGTTACCTGGAAGGCAGTTCTAAATGAGTTCATTCACTTTATTGAATTGTGGACACTTAAACTACAAAAAAGTATTAGATAAATATTTTTAAAAGAAAAGAAAGCAAAATATGCTGTCTTGACTCATAAATTAATTTTTAACTCCTTCGAATAGTGATAAACTATCTGAAAATAAAACTGAACATTTTATATTTTTTCACAGTGCCATTAAAATAAATTTTTATTTTATTTTTTTAATTAAAAAAATAGAAAAGAAAAGAGAAGGAAACAAGTACCTTATGGATTTTAAAATCGTTAAGCAAATGACACTTACCCAAAATTAACTAAACTTTCTCAAGCTACTTTTCAGAAACAAAGAAATTTTAGGCTTCTTATAATGGAAATCACATCCTTGGTATTAATTCAAGGAACATCTTCAGGCTGTCTATGGCTTATCTAGTACAGCCTTGTCTAGATAGATGTTGCAGTCTGTCGGAAGTAAGTGCTTTATGTTCACAAAGAAATTGTTTAGACTTTCCTTCATCTTCTAAATCCAAATATTGACGATAAGGCTTATATTTTTAAGATAATATTTTAAGAGGAATCAACCTTAAAATAAAAAATGATTGTTCTAAACTCATCATTTTATAAATTTAGGTAAAATTTTAATTTTTTTTAAATCATCTTTCCTTCATTAAATCCAACTAACAAATTATTTCTATTGCATAACTTCCTTAGCCCCAATCTTGACTGTTTAACCTGACCTGTCAATACACCAAAGTAGAAACACTTTTTTGAATCAGGATTTTTCCTTCTTTTATTTTATGGTTTTTTGGAATGATTACAAATAAAATTTTAAAAAGTATTTTAAAAATTAATAATCTTAATCCATTTTTTATAACCAGAATTGTTGATATTTGGCTATCAGCTGAGTAAAAACAAATTTCATTTCATTTCCCTTTTCTGCATCAGTCAACTTTAAGAAAAAATTTGTTTCATAACTACTTTTTTTTTTTACGGAATGGGGTAATTCAGTGAGTAAGGCACTGTGCTGCTATATTACAAGTCCCAGGTTGGAATCCTATTCGGTAATTGTTTATTTTGTTACAGCAGCTATGAATTGACCCTGGGGTCAGGAGACTCTCCAGAGGCACATACATCTGCTATAAAATGATTACTCTTAATTATATAATTAATTAAGCAAAACGAGAAAAACTGGCAGCTGAGTATGATCTTGATCCAATCATCTTCTTATACAAAAGTTGACCAAGAGTCCTATACAACTTAGCAAACATTTTTTGATTTTCTAAAAGAATGAAAACACATTTGATAGAAATAATAGTTCAATTTGCATTTTTTAAAAGGTAAAATGATTCCTTTCCCCTTCTTTTTATTTTTTTTTTATGAAAAACAATGTGCATTAAAAAATAAATAAAAATACAAATACTTGTTGGTAATCTGAGATACCTTTGATTTTCACATCTGAGCAATTAAAAAAAAAAATAAATAAATAGATATTGAATCTAATTACTTTGAAGAGATGTAACTGGAAAAGTGTTATGCTCAATAATGATCTTTTGTGAATACATTGTTCACACATTAATACATAATTAAGAAACATGAAAAAATTGGATATTATGGAAAACAACAAACAAAAACTAGGTACACATAATGATGTTAGTATTGATAAAAGTTAAATATTGCAAACAATGAAAATAACAAAAAAGTATTATTAGTGTTGATTTTATGTTAGAACAACAATATAGTTATAATGCATACTAACTTGAAAAAAAAAAAAAAGCAAGCGCTGTGTACAAGCAGACAAACTTACACTATTAAAAAGCTTTGTAGATGATGAAGATGATGAATCTCTTTTCCATTATGATCATTTACCTTCCACTGATGTTGAAGTAGTGATCCTCTTCCTTCCGACCCTGACAGCTAAAAAATAAAAAAACAAATTTACAGAATGTTGATTGTTCACCAAAAATTAAAAGAAATACTAATTATAGAAAGCAATACAAATGTAACTAAAAATAAATAAATCTTAAGCAAAAGACATTACATCTCAAGTGGAATAGCATTATTATTAATATTATTATTATAATTATTAGTATGCACATATATTAAGTAAGCACACAGTATCATTAATATTTAAATTGATAAAAATTAATGCATTGATGTTTGTCCGCTGAAGACTCCCAAACTATCCCAACCATATTTTTAGGGAAAGATGAGTCAGTTAAATAATAATAAATATAATAAATATAACCATTTTACAATAAATGTGATTGAAATGGATTTAAGAAGTTGCTCAGCTAAGATAAAAAATTAATCAGTAAAAAATAAACAAGACTGAATCGACAGACTAACATTTGAGAGAGACAAGAAAAAAAAGTTAGATTTAATCGTGTGTGTATTCAGCCTAAGGGAAACATTCTTATAGAGCGGATTAAATCTTTTGTAATTTAAATAACAATCTACTTATGAATCAATAGTGAAATAATGTAAAACAAATCAAAATTGTAAAATAAAAAATCAAGATGACATTTCACATGACTAGAGTGTTGTAACCAATCAGACAGCCTAAGCTGATATAGGCAGGTTTTATAATGCAGTTTTGTGGAGGAGGGTATATAAACAATAATGATTGAATGGCATCGAATTTCTTGGTTCACTAGCCTCATTTTGTTTATTAATTAAAACACATAGATAGATACAATTCACAATTTTAAAGAAAAAATCCAAAATAGATGATATGTAGTATAGACGAACAACTTCCTTCAATGCTAAAACTATTGTAATTGGATTTTGTATAAAATTGGAATTTTTTTTCAAGTAATTTAAAAAATATTGTGAGAAAAGCTTTGAGTTTTACTTAATAGGTAGAAACACAGAATATTACCCAAAGAATAATTTTAGAGATATCAAAGAAACCTATAGAGCATTTTGAAGTCATTATAAAAATTAAATTAATAAATCCTTAAAATGAACCCAATGAATTATGAATTATGGAAAATATGCTATCAGAGGATAAATGTTATAAATAACAGTAATACAGCAGATACTTTGAAATTTTTAACAAGTATGAAATGCTTTTAAGTCTGCTTTTAAATTAACTACAATTGTCTCGATCATTAATCCTTTCCAAACGGTAATAAAAATATGCACGTTTATTTACAATTATTGATAAATGTAATGATTATCTCATTAACTAACCAATTGAGATATATTTATATCTCTTATTAATAAAAAAAAGTCCTGAAAATTCATTCAATTATGTCAATAAAATTACAACAAATGACAAAAAAACATTTTGAGCATTTGATTAAGTGCTACTTTTACACCAGAGGTTTTAAAAAGAGCTTTTAAAACACCAAACAAGGGAACAACTCAGATTATAATTAAATTAAGTCAAGTAAAATTGCTATATACTAAATGAATATTTTTCAAAGAACCTTAAGGTTCAAAATGTTGAAATTGGACTGAAGCAAAAATATAAATAAAAAAATAACCTTTTATTTATTTATTTTATTTTATTTATTTTATCCATACCGTAAGATGGGGTAACTTTGACTAGGGACAACAGGTAAAATTTAGTTTGTGGTGATTCCGTGATGGATAAACAGTGTTGGATCAGTCAGCATGGATAGAGCATGTACTGCACTACTACCTTGTGTCAGTTCAAAAATTGTTGTACAGTAAGGTTTTATTTATTTTCTTTGCCTTTTTTTCAAAATTTTTGTTTTCATGAAACTTTCACTTGTGCTTCAAGGTTTATTTATAGTTACATTTATAGGGTGCCGCAAGGTAGAAGTGCAGTATATGCACTGTCCATGCTGACTGAACCAAAACAGTGTATCCGCCAAGGAATTACCACAAACTAAAATTTACTCGCTGTCCCAAACTTACCCACCCAGCCCCAAAGTTATCCCATCTTACGGTATGCATATATATATCAGCCTATATATATATTGTAACAAGTAAAAGTGGAACCAAAAACAAACAAAATAATCTCACAAACTTAAATTTCCATTTTAAAAAATAAATAAATAAAATAAAAACTAAACTAACAACATAACATTAGATATTTACAGAAAAATGATAGGAAGCTTGAATAATGAATGTTGAAATACAAAAAAAAAAAAAAAAAAAAAACACCCATGGCATCTAAATACACACTAACTATAATTACATAACATTATATCTATAAGTAAAAATAGAGAAAAAAATAGAAAAAGGGAAGTTGCAAGATTTACACACAACTCAACAAACATGATTTTTTTTAAACAGAACAAAACAGTAAGCCAAGAGATATAATATCTTTGAATAAGCAGAGCTTTATTGTAAAATATTAAATGAAATTGAAAAATATCCAATAACATTCAAGATTATCTCTATAGAAATTAAAATTGGTATATACATAAACAACAGCTGGTATTGGACAAACAGTTATATTGTTGGTTACAAGCTATGTTTGTTAACGCATAAATGATAACGTGTAATTTAATTAATTCATATAGGTTTGTTATCGTTTATTTATATTATTCTTATTAATGTATTTTGTTACCTAATACCATTTTAATTCTTACAGATTAATAAAATCAGTTGTTTATAAACCAAGTTTAAATTAAAATGACCAATACTGAGTAAAGAAGGAAAGGGCAAACAATGGATGGAATAAACAGATCAAAAATATTTATACACATTATTAAGATAGACGAATTATGTACTGGTGGAAATTTCCGAAAACAATTCTGTAAGAATTAATTAAATTACACATTATTGTTTATGCGCTAACAAACACATCTTGTAACCAACAATATAACTGTTTATCCAATTCCACCTGGTATTTACATGTATAATAGTAATGTTATAATGGAGGGAGGTCCTGTCCTCATATAAGTTAATAATGAGAAATTTAATAACGGTTTATTAGCAATTTTATGAATTTAATAACGGTTTAAACTTAATTATATTTAATATTGAGAGGGTATCCAGTTTGCTATATACATTTTTTTTATCGGCCATGAACCTAAAAAGTTTAGTCATAGCATCTTAACTAAAATATTACCTTATGAAAATGATGAATTTATTTTACAAGGATGAGGATTCCAAATCTAATATTAGATTAAAATCATCCTAATATAGAATGACAAATATTTTGCTATGGATATTAAACTTTATTACAATAAATATCAGATAAAAGGAAATATATTAATGAAATGTTTATTTTTATATCCCCAGTTTCTTATGATTTGTTTTTTTTTAAAGTAGAACATTGCAGAGTAAAATGTACAGAAAATAAGTTGTAATAAAAAATTATTATTTATTTATTTTTTTATCCAACAAGCATGGAGAGGGACATTGAAAATTTGAGACTGTCATAGACCACAGTCAATATACACTAAAAATAGAAATTCTCAAACTTCGAAAATGTATAGTAAATTTTTTTTTTTTTTTATTATGTTGTTCTACTTTGAGATATATTTTTACATATAAATAAATAAGTAACAAACAAAAATGTATGAAAAATGCTGAAACATTATTATGAATATTTTACAACAGGGTAGGCAATCAATTTCAAATTTTCAAAAAATATTATTGAAAAATTTATTTTTAAATAACCAGGTTCAATATGAATTGATGATATTCTAACTTTGTAACATAATCTAATTCACCTGAAAACGAATCAATGTTATGAAGGGTAAAAATAAATAAATAACTACAATAATCTAAAAAAGTCCAATAAAATAAAATGAGATATTTAAAAGAAAAGCATTCTGTTTCATTCATTAAATTTAATGACATCATAACTAAAAATATCAGTTTTGAGAGGATTATTATTTTTTTTTTTCATTCAGAACTCAAAAACATTTCAAAAGTGCATTTTTACTTCCTAGTCTGATTACCAATCTTGTATTTCATTTATCTGTAAAACTATTTCGACTTGCAGTAGTAATTTCAACAGCCATTTGAAATTAAAACATTTTAATTATGCTTTTCAAACATGTCTTTTTATATTTGAGTTATGATGCACTGCTACATTCACTTGTAAAGCAAACTTCTACAATTTAGATATTTAAAAAAATGCTAATAAAATAAAAAGATAAGGAGCACACAACAATATCATGCTTCAAGTGAAAAATACATACCATGTGCATGTCTCGCCATGGAAAGGATGTAAACACAAAGCAAAATGTGTCAGTGATCAAACATACCAGGACTACAAGCCTAGCATTTCTTGTTTATTTTTTTTTAAATCTAACTTTTAAAAATATGATGCAATTTACAATTATAGAAATATTATGTATATTGCATCAAAAACTTAAATAAAAATAATAATATATTACACTTCATCAACTAAATATTCACAACACTTAATAAATAGAAACTTGTGAATGCAAAGCGTAATTCATTCAGATAATAATTATGCATGTATATATGACTAATTTTTAGTAAAACCTTGATTAGAAGTTTGGTTAATTGGGTTTATAGTTGACTTAGCATCATAAGTATTGTAATTAGTGTTCAGTATCCCATAAAATTAAGATGAAATTTATTGAAAAGCTGCTTCCAAGATTTTTCAACAGCTGCTAAAAATTTATCCCATGTGATCTATGTATTATATATATTTATCCTACATACTGCCTGACCTTTTAAGTATTTAATATACCTTTTACAACACTATTAAATCATCATAAATAACTGAGGACAACAGACACCGCTAAAAGATAACATTTCATAAGATACTAATAAATATTAGCATTGTAACAATAAATGAACAAAATTTAATTTGTTTCAAGTTATGAAGATGATGGGAAAAAAATTGTTAAAATTAAGATATATCTCTAGTAGTAGAAATGTTAATAATCTTTTGACTCAGTGGAATAAAGTGGCATTAGAGATGACATCACTAATCTATATCCGATGATATTTTC